GGCTCAGAGAACTGGGCCAAGGAAATGCAGAACAAGCCATGGAGTTCATGGCTCCATGGACAACAAGACGACGAGTCCGATCCTTTATTACCCAGCACAGTTAGCCTGTGGCGCTCCCTGCTATGACACAGCCCTGATGCCAAAAGCTTCACTGGACTCAAAGGAGAACTGGGTATTTGCAAAGAGGTTGAGAAGCTGAGAAATGTTTTAGTTTTAAAAAGTGATAAATCCTCATGCTTCAGGGCACGAACCAGCTCCTAAGTGACCAGGGTCAGGAAGAAACTTTATACGGGCGGGTGAATCCTTCGTTTCCCTTTCATGCATTTCTTGTACTTCCCTCTGAAGCAGCTGGTGCTGCCCCGCTGGAAATGGGACCCTGGACCATGGCAAAGCCTGGCTGCTAGCAGGGGAGCAGGCAGATGGACAAGGCTGGACCTGCTGGGATTCGAGACGGAAGAAATCTCCAGGGGGATTAGCCGATCACACGGACTTGTGCACTGACAGAGTGGCCTCGCACAGCTCTGTAAAGCTCGCTCCACGCCTCGTCAACTGCACCCTGGAGACTTCTCAACAGCGCGTTAGAGACTGAAATAGCCACACGATTGCCCTGTCTAACCAACGAAGGTGCCTGGTCACGTGTCTAAGACACAGCAGGAACGAGGCCGGGCAGATGGCGCGGTTCTAGTGAGTTACTGTAGTGCTCAGGTGGGGATGATAAGGCATCGCAGGTCTGTGGTCACAGATGGTTAAAATAAAGCCAGGAACAAGACCAAACCCCTGCAAATCTACACGGAGGGTTGTAATCCCAGACCTGCCGCTGACCCGCCATGTGGCCTTGCCTCAGTTTCCCCACTTGCACAATAGGGCTAACCACACTGAGACCCAGGAGACCAGTTCCTGCCGTGCTGACAACGCACACCAGGTCCATAGGCATGGAAGCCTTCCTAGGGAGGAATGTGGCCTGTGAGGTCCGAGTGGTGTGAGGCCTCTGGACGGCTCTCTCGGTTCTTAAAGCTGTGCTGAGGAGCAGCAGGCGCTACGGAGGTTGGCGAGGTCCCATCGGAATCCAGGCAGCCCAGACAGCAAGCCGGGGCGAGAACGTCACTCCTCACCTGACCCCGAGCCCACCTGAGCCAGCCTCCCCCACCTTCAGGGGCTGCTCTGAAGCACATCAAGCACCGCACTTGCTTGCCCAGACGCCTAAGCCCATTGGGGGTTCGGGAGTTCCCCACCGGTCACTGAACAGCAGCTAACAGGCAGGGAAATGGTTCCTCGTGCCTGACAAGAGGCAGCCTTGTGACGTAGTGGGGGTACCTTGCTGGTTGCTATGCTGGGCAGGGGGTTGTGAGTGACCTCCACTGGCTGCTGGCTGCAGCACGGCCCAGCAGGGCGGGGGATGAGTCATTATGCAAAGGGGGCTCCAAACCTGTCTGACCAGTTATCTCCCAGGGAGCAAAACAATGGGAAGAAGGGGAGTGGAGCCCTGGCTGGGGGCAGAGCTGGAAGTGAGTGAGTTAGGTTTCTGGCTGGGAGCATGGAGGAGACACCCTAGGGAAAGGGGCTGGAATTTAGGGGCCCAGTCTCCCCCATCTCAAGGGGGGCTGAGGCATTCTAGGCCCGGTTCCTGTAACCAGATGACATCTGTGCTGGGCTGTATCCTGGAGAAGCAATAAAC